GACGAAAAAAAACAAATAAAGTAAATTACAGGTATTTTTACTGCTCATAATACCTTAAAACATGCATTCTCATTGTCAGCATAGTCATCTTTCCACAGATCTGACTTGTAACTTGGCCTTTTTGCGTAACTTGCTTGTTTCTTTGGAAATGGGACGCTTAATGCCGTGCTGTAGAAAATTCCAGGCAAAGCAAAGACATCTCCATGAAAACAAGCAGTTGGTGCTTCATCTAAGAGAAAAGTTATAAAATGCACCTTTAAAATTTATTTTGCTGTGTTTGTTAAGGTGTGTGTGACGTCACTTTATCAATATGACCTGTATAGTTAAAAGAACACTTAAGGACAACGCAGGAGCCTGATAAGAAGTGTGTCTATTTTTAGCCCCCCATTTGCAATCCACCTCTCCCTATCATTGTCAAACATCAGCTCTTGTCTGTGATTACTCTGAGCACTTTAGCTGTCAGCCCATTGGCGTTCAAGCAGGAAGCCATGCATACAGATCCTAGCTGAGATGCATATAGATTATATTGAGAGAACGCTTTATCAAATTCAGGCCCTACCGTCTCCAATTTTCACCTCTGATACCTCCCCGTGAACTCGCCTTGCCCCGAGATGACTTTTGAACAGCGTGCGGAATAGGTTAGTGCAATATTATCAGCTAAATTATGTCATCCTCACATATTGATCGAAGGGGTTGTTTGTCATCGCTACGGGTTACGCTGATTCCTGATTGCTCTCTTCTCTCTTCTGTGAGGTGAAGGCAAAGTTGCAGGTTTATGTCTCTAAGGGTTACACTTGCATCGCCCCCTCTTAAAATAGCCATGGCTTTTTACTGCAGCGCAACTCTGCAGTGTCTCCACATCAGCCTCTTTCTCTCTGCTCCTCTTCATTGTACTGACTTTAACACTAAACTAGCAGCTACTTTTTACATTTAGTTCAGTACAGATTTGGAATTCCAGGGCTGAAATCATCCAAATCTAATAAAAGTGTATGGCGTTAAAAACATAGTAGAGCACATCCTGTATTATCACATAACATCTTAAACTGAAACTGAGATTTTTGTGTTTTTATTTATTTTTTATTAGTCTGAATTTAAACAATTGTTTCAAAAAGTCTAACTACTATGTGGGCGGAGCTAGGGTGTAGGTGAAAACAAAAAAATATGATGACTGCTGAAGGAGTGGGTGGAGAAAAATGCCTGTGTTGGGGAAAAGAGAGAAGCACTGCATTGCTACATGATGGTATTTTCAGAATAAGGTAAATTTTTCTCCAGTGACTGCAATACATGATACTGAAAGCTTTGGTGTTTGCTCTGTGCAGTGGTAGAAGGTAACAAAAAGGTAAAGGTAAGGTAAAGTACAGTACTCAAGTAAAAAAAATTAGATACACAACCGGTCAAAAGTTTTAGAACACCACACTTTTTCATTTTTTTTACAGTTTACTGGTGACCAAAACATATTCTAAACTTTGGATTCATGAAAGTGTCCACCTTTGGCAGATATAACAGCTGAACACACTCGTGGCTCGTTCATTTCACAATAGATATCAAATATTCTTCAGAAAGTTCTTCCCAAGTCTGTTACAGAAGTTCTCCTAAATGTGTGGCACTTGTAGGTTTCTTGGCTTTCACTCTTCTGTCTCGTTCATCCCAAAACCAGCTCAAAAATCTGGAGACAGTGCTGAACCATCTTGTTCTTTTTTCCTGAGGTAGTTTTGTCAGAGCTTGGACTTGTGTTTTGTTATCTTTTATGTATTTTTTTAACCTTTGTACCATTTTAAGCTCTTCATTGGACTTGCATGACTTGAATTGCAAAAAATAACAGGAAAAATTAGGGTGTTCTAAAACTTTTGATCGGTAGTGAAGCTCTACTTTTACTTTTACTACAAAATTGAGTATTTCTTCCACCACTGGATATTTGTGAGGAGAACAGGGACTCTTCTTTATAGGCGTACCTGTCTCGCTCTATTGTCTAATTGCCGCTGTTTGTTGTGAGGCACATTTTGCCGTAAAATTGTATTGCCTGTCTCATATTATACACTGCCTCTCAGAATATAGGTCAGTGTTTTTCTGACCTCACTATGGAAATCACTGCCGTTGAAGATTCATGAATCGCTCTTATCACCTGCTGTTTGTGTAAGACAGGACACAGTTAGGGATGACTCATGAGAAGCCACCCCCATCTCCCCTCTCGCTGTTGTCCTAACCAGCATATTTAAATCACTTTTACATACAGTAGGAATAAATCTGAATTTGAAATGCAATATATACTGATTGTTGTTACAGGGGACATCTGCTTTAATGAAATTCTAACCATAATATAACAGTGTTCAGTGTTTTATTTTGAGTGATTGATTCATGCATGTTTGAGTAATTCTCCATTGTCCTGCAATTAAGATTTAAGTGCTGCTTTCACCTTCCCCCTATCTCCGCCCACTGCTCTGTCTGTACTTGCGATAATCAAAAAATCAGACCCATGTAGGGCTCGCAATTACAATTACATATTTTAACAATAAAAACATGTAAATGAAAATCTGGTGTGAAGAGGTGGGTCTTCTCATTTCTGTAGTTTTGAACAGGAAGTCAGTGTTTCTATTGTTAAACTGTTTTAGATCAATATTTGGTTTATACAAAATGTTAAAATAAAGTGTAGTAGAACTCAGTGGCAGAGTTAGCAATTTGTGGGCCCTAGGTGAATTTTGTTTGTTTAGTTTTGTTTTTAATATATTTATTGTCTGTTTTGTTCTTGAGACACACACATCTCATTTATTTGAATTATGGTGTATTGGAAACTTTTCTTATTAGTTCAGTAGCATACTAGATAACCAGAGCTGAAAGTAGTTTTATTTTTTGCTAGTACAATTACATTTATGTTTACATCCATTACATATGATTATTATTATTTTTTTTCTTAATGATGATTATTGTCTAAAAGTAAAATACTCTCATTTAATATCATATTAAGAGAAAATCAAATTGTTCTGAGGCCTTAGTGGCACTGAGGGCAATTCGTTGGGGGCCCCTTCAGGTTAGGGGGCCCATGGCAGCCACCTACTTTTGCCTAATGGTAGCACCGCCTCTGGTAGAACAAAAAAAATCTTGTTTGACTAAAACATGTTCTGCTGATCGATTTGTGTTATGAATCTGCATAAAATAAGTACTAGGAAACAGTGTATTTATATAAAAACAGATTAAACTTGTGAATCATGAGTAATCTGCCTTTTTACATATTAATACTAAAGACACACCAAATCTTCAGCAATTTCACTCACTAACTTCTGCTGGTCCTTATAATCTAAATGAAATAATTAGTTGACTAATGCACATTTTGGCCATCTCAGATATGTCAAGAGATTAATCAGCTAAACAACTAAAGCCCTGGATCTGAATATGTTAGTTTATTTAAAAATACCCAAAGACTCATGTTTTTGTTCTCTTCAACCATGAAGGAAGTAATCATTTCTTTTCAGAGTGAGTCCCTAAACAGTGACCAGTTTCTCACAGGTTTTGCAGTAAAGGCCATTTTTCCAAGTTTGTCTCTGAGTTACAAGCCTGCCTCTATTATTTTGAATCCTCTGGGGAAATACACTTTTATTGTTGCCCAGCTGAAGACAGAACGATGACTCTGTCCCAGTTTGAGCTGCACTGCCATGTTTGGAGAGGCTGCTGTAGGCTGTATACTGTAGGATTACACATGTAAGGAGATCAGCTCTGCTCTAAGGTGATTAGATGGAGAGTATCAATACTGGCTTTATCAACTCAATCTGGGCGGGCTGGAGCACCGATACTATGAGATGTGCAGCGAGTAGTGAGCATTGCTTTGGGAAACATGGTCCCATTTGTTAATTTTGTTGCTTATTTAGTGTTTATTTGATACACTTGACATATTCACTGTTTTGATGAGTAAAACAGATGTATTTCAGTTTAGCAAAAATATATTGTTTCTAAAATGTATTTGGTTCTGAAAAACATCAGTTAGTATTAGTTATAATATTGTATCGTGAGCCATGTATTATGTATTGTATCGAATTGTTAGAGACCCTGTGATTCTCAGCTCTACTTTATACATCCTTATCATTTTTATTGGTTCAATGGGGTTAGCAATTTTGCTTTAAATGTCAAATTTGTAGCGTTTTGGAGAAATTTGGAGTACTCATGAATATAAAATGTTCTTTGGAGTACATGTTACATACATAGATACGATTTCTGTAGGCTCATTTTGGCATGTATAATTACTAAATATACACTAGTACACAAAATAGGAGATACTCAGAGGGTGAGAAAACTCTTAAGTTGTACTCAAAGCCAAAAATGGGAACCACTGTTTTAGATAAAGGAAAGTACAAGGCAACCTCTTTGTCCTTGAAAAAAAAACAATATAAAAGTCCAATTTATAAAAGAGGGAGTTACTTTTATATGGAAAATGTCACCTCCATTACTCTTTTGTCCTTTGACAGATGTGCCGTGTCGGCACAAATCTTATAAATATTAAGGTTAGAGATTCTTTGTTTGCTCCTTTGTAGCTTTTCTTCTTTAAGTACTTGTTCCTCCTTATATTTCATGATACATAATGAGACATGTATAGGGCAGGGCACTGTCAAAAAGTACCTTAAAAAAAGTTAAATCTTCAAGCTAAGGTATCAAGCAGTCAATATACAAATATGGTGCTGGTTTTACATCATGATCATTATAGTTGTGTTTTGATTCTATCCAAATTATAGTTAACACTGCATAGGTGTCAAAAAAGGAATGTTCAGGTATATGTACTGTAAAGTAGGTATTATTAAAATACAAACATAAAAGAAATGCAAAAGTGAACCCTATATCTGTAAAGGCAGACAAATTGAGGTATAAGATTTACACTGGATTATTGAGCGCTCACTTCTTACTGTGTTCGATTATCCCCTCTACAGTTATGCCTGATTCAGTGGTTTCACATGTGCGTAATCATACAGTATATATACTGCTGTATATATGTCATTGTCATTTTTGTCCCTCTGCAGCTCCCCCCACGTTCACCGAGACCCCTCCTCAATACGTCGAAGCCAAGGAAGCGGGCAGCATCACACTGACCTGCACAGCCTTCGGGAACCCCAAACCCTCTGTGAGCTGGCTGCGTGAGGGCACACTCATGGTCACCAGTGCCAAGTACAAGGTAATGTTCACAACAAGCTGCTGAAAGACATGAATGGCAAAATTCACCTTTTGTGAATTATTCACTCATCACTAATTCCAGGTATGTTTTTTCAGAAGTAAAATTTGACCAATCCAACATCCATGACCATTGACACACTCAGTGGCTCTCTCTTTTCTGCATCACTTGAGGAAAAAACTAAAACTACACAAGTCTGCCCAAGCCATTTTTTCCACAATCATGTAGTCGTTTAAAACAAGGATCCACAACCACCAATCCCAGGCCTAAAACCTGACCATGGGCCATCTGGTACTGGGAAAACTATATAGTGCAAATGACCCTAAACAGGATCCATGCTTATTAAGACTTTTTTTTTAAAACTAGGGTTAAGAGTTATAAGCATTTTGTGCTTTGTTTTGTTTCATTCATGCTTTTTTGAGTAATCCTGCATTATTATCTTGTCTACATCTCCAAAGCTCAAAATGCTCTGTTCCACTTTGTGTCTTGTGTGTCATGAAGTGGTAGTCTTCATGTTAACAGTTCTTTTTACCTTTTGTTCAGAAAAGATTGGCAGGTCCAGGGCTGAAATTATCCAAATGATCCTAGTGAAGGTGTATGGAGTTTAAAAACACAATGAAGCATTTCCTGTATTACCACATGACATCACAAGGTGAACTCTAAATATGCAGGGTTTGTGTGTTAAACATGTGTGAATGAAACAAAACACAACTCCAGGTCTGTTTGTAATGAGGAAACAACATTATAACGTAGATTAGAAAATAGTGTAACATGGGCCCTTTAAATAGTAGTTCTAAATTGCCTGGGATCCTCTGTGCTGTAGTGGCAGTGCTGACTTCCCCCACATTCAATCAATTATTCAAATGGACTGAGCTTTGTTCATAAAAATGTTACTCATCAGAAATTGCTATCATTTCAGAAACTAGATTTTCCCAACTAAGAACAGATATATATTTTAAAGGTTAAATTACCAACTGTACTGCATGTGGGATTAAAATAGAGTTAGCTTTAACACAGGGAAATGATGAAGATGAAAAGTCTGCTCTCAAACTGCTTTTGGTTTACTTGACATTTATGGAGTCAGTTCTTTCGATTGTGAAGCTGAAAGCTTTGCAGTATTTGAAATGTGGTGATCAAAATATAATGGTTCACTAAAAGCCTGTTTTAAGACAATAAATGCTCAATTTTATTTGTATCACCAACAAAGAATTACAGAAAGCTTCTGTCTGCTGGACTGTAGATATCAAGAGTGTAGTCACTGCGCTGAGTCACACCAATAGTTTTATGAGTCACTCTTTTAAATAACTTTTGAACACTGAAATCATTTGGATATTTTCATCCCTGAACTGCCCGTCTCTACTGAACAAAAGATAAAAGTTAGCTGTCAACTTAAAAATGGCCAGGTTCATGACATCACAAAGTGGAAGAGAGCCTTTTGAGCTTTGGAGATGGAAACAAAACACAGCTCCAGATATATTTTTGATGAGGTAACAACATTCTAACGAGGACCTTTAAAGGTTGATTGTTTTCATCCATTTAATCAGTCCATCTCCAAGGCGCAATAAAAATACATTATAATGATAAGAAACTCAAAGACGCTTTAAATAGTTTTACAAGCAAAAAAGAGCCAGTGCAGCAAAATACACTAAAATAAGGTTAGTTGAGGTTTTATGCAATGTAGTACAGGTGAGTTTTTAACAATTTTTTGTTAAAGATTGTAGTGAATCCGAGTTTCTGATGTGAAGGGGAGGAGAGAGTTCCAGAGGGTGACGGCAACAATGGTGAAAAGAATCATTTGACCTACCGACTAATAAAAAGATATAAATAAAAAACTGCTGACGATTTTTTATTCAAATTATTTCCAGTCTTAATTGAAAGCTGTTGTATGTGTTGTGTCCAGGTGTCTGATGGGAGTTTGACGGTGCTATCCATCACACGGGACGATCGTGGAGCCTACACGTGCCGAGCCTTCAGCCCACAGGGAGAGGTCATCCACACCACACGGCTGCTAGTACAAGGTGACCCCAGCTACCACACCCATACACCTACACGGACAAGGAGGGCAGAGTGTCTCGGTTTAAGGTTTAGCATATTGTCATCATTATTAAAGCTGACTTATTATGCAAAATCAGCTTTTTAGAGCTTTTAAACGTGTTTTGTTTACCAGTTATTCACTTGAAGTTGAATTTGGAGTGATCTGTGCATGTTGAGCAATCTGTAATCGCTCAAGGTGCCATATTGCCAATCAATTCGCCGGCTCCTCTGTACTGACGTTATTCTCCAGTTGTATTTTCTTAATCAGTGATATGCGTAGGATTCAGCAACGTCATGTAGTCATTTTGGTACAAATGGAAAAAATTCTGCTCTTCACTATCCAGCTATCCATGGAAGACATAGATTATAGCTATATAACAGACACAAGTACAATAGGACTTCAATTTAATTCAGATGTCATTATGACTTATGATACATAGATGTTTCTTCTAGTTTTCTTTGTTGTATTTAGCCACACATATTGGTAACAGCTCAAAAAATCCACATCGGGCCAAACCCATATAATACATAATAGCATTTTTTTCTTTCTGTTTTGCTGGGGTCAAATGTGATTTTCCAAATAACCAAAAGCCCTCCTGGTACTGTGAGAGAACGTCCAGTTTCCTAGTTGTAAATCACTGCTTCGATGTGAGTAGAGATGCTATCGCCAAGGAGACGGAGATGCATTGTTTTCATAATGAAGATGAATGACTTTTTTTAGAATAGCAAGCAGCCCTTTGCCAAACCAAGGACATGAGGCAAAATCCAGACCTGCGGGGACCATGGAGGCTTTTGAAACAAACTGCTCTTATTGATGATGTTGATATTTAAAGGTGCACTATGTAACCTTTCTGATAAAGGGTCTGATGTGTGCTTGTCTCCGTGAAGAGGTTGTTTTGCCTAGAATGTTTCACAGTAAGTCATTAAACTATCTATCTACCTTTATGGCGACAAACAGGTGACAGGTGAACTTTTAGGCCCCTTCCACACTAGTACGTATTCGAGCCGTTTTCGTTGTGGATGCAATGTTCATCCACAATAGTCCGATGGAAAATGGCTCCAGAGACGGAACGATCTGGTGCCGTCAGCTCCCACAAATTCATCTGAGTACGGATCTGATCTGACACTATGTGGATGCCTGAAAACGCTGATACGCCGACGTAGGAGCTCTAGTTGCCGTCCTTATTGGACCGCGTCACTGTGTCTTGCGCTTTCCTGATTCGGTCATGTGATGCTATTGCAGAAAACAGCTTAAACAAACCATAGACAAATGGAAACAGTGTAGCTAGAACTACTTGCACAGAACGGACTCAGTATTAGCAGGACACCCCTCTGTCACATAAAGAACACATACATTCCTCTGAGTGGTTTCCTTTAGTCCGACAGAAGTTGAACCACATCAGTGCACAAGGAGCGAGCTGTTTTTGAGCGCTCAGTTTATGCAAATTAGCCATGCAGTTTTAAGTTTCGTTTCTGTAAAACGTAAACAAATGTGCTCAAAGCTGTGTGGATAAGGAAGGCTTGTGGACACAGAAACAACGTGTCTGGACGCAAATCGTTTCTGATACATTGATTTGTTTCAGTGTGTAAATGCAACCTTTGCTTACATGTAGCTCTTATTTTTTGCCATGAATGTTTCAATGTACAAGACAAGCAGGTGACGCAGATCCCATCAGAGTTGTAGAAAGTTGAGGCTGCTCACAGTATGGAAGCTTGTTTTTCAAGTTTTTATTTTTAGCTATAAAAACTCCTGTATTTGAATAAAGGCAAGATTTGTAATGTTTAATTTCATATTATGGCACATTCCAAGCATAGCAATAACATCTCCATGGAGACAATCAGGAAGCGGAACAAGCCCTCTACCAGAAAAGTTACATAGTGCATTATTAAAGGATCTCATATTATGCTATTTTCTGATCTGTGTTTTAAAGTTGTTTCCTCATCAAGAACATATGTGGAGTTGTGTTTTATTCCATTCACACGTTAAACACACAAACCCTGCATATTTGAGGCTACGTTTAAATGATGACGTTCTGAACAGAAGATGCAAAAGTGGTGTCACGTTTTTACGTTTTTATTCCGCGTTTAGACAAGTGTTTTTAGGAGGAAATCTGCGTGCATACAGTGACGCAAAAGAGTGTAGAATTTGATCAGGTATACATGCCAGGCGACTAGGTGGTGACGCTAAGTGGTGATGTATGTGACGTAAACGTGTATGCGATGTGGGCAGATCTGACGAAAGTTTTGCGTCTTTGGCAGTGTAGACGGAAATGCTACAGCAGAGTGTATTCAGCTTTTCCACTCTGGAGGGCAATTTCAGATTTTTGCATTTTTAAGCCCCCAAAACACCGTCACCGTCTAAACGAAAGGCACTTCCAATAAAATATTTTGTCGTTTTTACCTGCAAGCATTCTCGTGTAAACAGGCCCATAGGCTGAATTTTTCTCTCAAACAGAAAACACTCCACCTTGTGATGTCATGTCGTAATACAGGAACTGCTCTACCATGTTTTTAAACTCCATGCACCTTCACTAAAATAATTTGGAGCTGTTAACTTGAAAACTACTGCTTCATGCATCAGAAGGTAGGAGCATTTTGAGCTTTGGAGATATAGACAGGCACATAATAAAGGGTTACTTAAATATGTGTGAATGAAACAAAACACAACTCCAGGTCTGTTTCTGATGAGGTAACAACTTTATAACAGGAGTAAAAACTCACAAGAGTCGGCTTTGTTTAATATAGGACCTTTAAATCTACATAATGTCACTGTAGTATATGCCTTTATTGCAGTGTAAAATTGTTTCTGATTGTGTGAGATCAGCCTGGAGCACTGATATCCTTGTGCAAACATGACTAAGCACAACTCAAATAATGTATGATTCAGCATTATGTTTAGCTGCTTGGCTGGAGCGGGACTGAAATTAGACTGGGGCCACTAACTACTGTGTTTAACATCCAAAGCTTGATGGAGCAGAGCAATTTCGTTTGAGCATTTGAGCTGTTACATTTTAATCCAAACTCACTGAGCAGCAAGTGTCCAGAGATATGCAACCTTCACTTCTAGCTATAAATGAAATGTCAACATCTGTAACCATGGCAATCCATCCAAATATGGGCTGTGCTTTGCTCCTGCCACAAAAGCAAGACATATTTAACAAATGAATGAACGGTTGGGTGCGATGTGTCGACTTAGTTCCACAGTATGGCATTACATTTCTCTGTCTCCGTGGAAACAAGCAGGCAATACCAGGTCAAGTTACAGGTCAGATCTGTAAAGAGGCAAACCCACTCACAATCATGGTTTCCAAAGTATTTCTGAGCAATAAAAACACCTGTAACTGAATAAGTGGTAGATGAACAAGTTTAATGCCATACTGGGGAATATTCTAGTCAAAAATCTCACAGTAATATTGTGTGTAGGGGTGTAACAATATCCAAGTTTCACAATACAATATCGTCACGGTATGAACCTCATGGTATGATATTTATTGCGATATTTTGTGGAGGCTAAAAAAACTGTTAATATGCTACTTTTTCCTCTTAAAATGCCTCGGCAAAACTTCATCCAAAGAACTAAGATTTAAAAGTGCTTACAACTGTTATTTCTTTTTGTAGTCTATACTGCAGTGAAGCAAGGATCATGGTCTATGTAGTTCCATCTGTCTTTTTTTTAGCTGTTGCTGCACCATAACTCTTAATTTAAGCAAAGAGACTTGTAATTCCATATATTGTGATGATGATTGTTAGAACTTTGACGATACGATATCACGATATTTTGGTTACTGTTACATCCCTAATCGTGGCGATCTATATATATATATATATATATATATATATATATATATATATATATATATATATATATATATATATGTTCCTTTGCTTATATGTTATATATATATGTTATATATATGTTCCTTTGCTTAAATTCATTGTTATTGAGCAGCAATAGTTAAATACAGAAGGAACTACATAGACCATGATCCTTTGCCTCATATGAACATTTTAAGACCAAAATGACGCGGCTCACTGCAGCAGTTACAGAAAGAGGGGTGACAGATTTTCAAAGTAAAGTCAATCGAAGCCTGAATCCATGGAGCCAGAAGCACCACCATGCTCACATCCTATTTGGAACGCAGCGAGTTAGCTATTTCCATTTATGTATATAGTCTATGATTATAACAGAACTAAAGTCATGTCAAGGCATTTTAAAATGAAAAAGTAGCATTCACAATTTTGCTACCCTCCACAAAATATTGCATTGTACCGTGAGATGCATATCATGATAACAGGGATGTAATGATATCCAAATCTCTCATCTCACGGTACGATATTTATTGTGAAATTTTGAAGATGCTGATATAATTATAGATAGGACACTTTTTTGCTCATAAAATACCCTGACAAGATTTTGGTGTGAATCATTACTGTCAAAACATATCTCTTCATGTCTGCGCTTAAATGAATCATGGGATCTGTAGATCCCGATGTTTATTAGCTATTGCAGCTGTAAAACAATGTATTTAAGCAAAGGAATTTATGATTTGATATATTGTGACATCCCACGATACTATTGTGAGATAACTTCTTAGGTTCTTTTTAAAGACAATGCAGTAAAGTGTATTTACCTTGTTGACATGTTTCGGCTGCTAGCTGCAAGCCATCTTCAGAACTGTCACCGGTGTTGGTGGTGACGTGTCGTATATCAGCTGTTGTTACTTCCTGTAGGCGTGGTCAGCCTGATGGAAAAGAACCTAAGAAGTTAAAGTATATAAGAAGACATAATGAACATCATTGGCTTACTATTGTGAGATGTTTGACGTTATGATATCACAATATTTTGGTTATTGTTACATCCCTACATGATAATATCAGTATCATGTAGAGGTTTGGATATTGTTACATCCCTATTATTAAGATTAATAACAGGTTAAAAATGCTAGTGACTATGATATATTGTCTTAAATGTAGTTTTTTTTAAATGAAAAATTTGATTTTGTACAATTTGCCCACTTACACATAGTCACTGCTCAAAGTCAATAGTCAAAATGGGAAGTAAAAACTCAAATGTCCGTCTATTCGCCAGTCTCCACTTGGTCACGCCTCACCAAAGAGGATAAATGAAATCGCAGCAAACATGGCATTCCGGGTCATCTCATTTAAAGAGCGCAGTCCCCACAGAGCACAGCTGAATGATCGTGACCTCGTCTGAACTCCGAGAATACACAATCCAACTTCCAACTGTGTTTCCACTCCACAGACTCTTGGAAAGCCACGATTGCTTGATGAAAGTTCCTCTCCTTTGCAGATTTTAAAGCCATCTGATCCCTCACGATGGCGGTTAAGTCTGATTTTGTGAAGAGCAGACTTGTAATCCTCTTGCCTCTGCATACAAAGTTAGCATGGGCTTTCTGACCCTTGTCTAGGCCTGCATGATTTTGGGGGAAAAAAACAAACTGCAAGTATTGTAATAGATTTGCACTAAGTGTTTAAAAAGTAGGATTCTGTTCATAGTGCACATTGTAAACAACTCCAGGAGAATTCATATTTGAGAGATGACTGAAATCTAAACTCATAAACTAATACAAGAATCCCATGCATTTCAGAACATCTTTGTAAAGGTCTATTTTGTTCTTTGCAAAGGAAATTCTACTAGTTAGGTAATTGCAGCCTTTTGTGATTTGTAGGGCTGTAATTGACTGAACAAGTTTATTATTGTTAGTTATTATTGTTAGAGGAAAATACTAGTAAATTTCCATTTTTGCATGTAAAAAGTCTGAAAAAAAATCTCTATTCACTCACAAATCTCAGTTTAATTCACTCCATCCCTTCACTTTTACCAATAAAATAATTTGTCAAGTAATGAACATTTAAACACAATGGTCCAATCCACTAAACGAGTAAAGCTCTGGTGCTTTAATAATTACGCCAACTCTAATTGTTTTTATTTCGTTATGTATTGGTCAGCGCTTGTGTACGGTTGTCAGAAGTATCAAAAATTGGTGATAGTATCATCTAATCAATACTAAAACTAGTATCATATTTAGGATTGAAACTGTCAGTACTAAAAACTCACATCTACTGGACAGAAATGAACCTTGAATAGAGTTAGAATGATCTTGAGCTGTATCAGAACAAGTATAAGAGCACATAAACTAGTTTACGCCCATGGACCACTATGGAGCATACCTGGATGAGTGAGGGAAAATATATAAGACCACATCTTAAAATAAAAAAGTACTACGTTTTAATGTTGATAATTACATTTTATTGTCCAAATAAAGTACTATTGAAATCAAGTTTGAAATTTTAGTATGGTGCCAACACTCCCCTCTTCTTTATTTGGCTGTGAGTTTTGTGTATTTTCCACAGTCTTTTCAGATCACACATTCCTTGAGCTGCGCCAAAGGAGATGTCTGACCCGTCCTGTATAATTTACAGCACAGGCAGATTAATAGTGGTCCTCCTGGAAAGCCACTGAGCAGCAGATCAGTGAAGAGACTCTGAGCCAACACATCTCCAGCTCTCAGATTGGTCCAAATAGGGCGGGACAGACACACATGGTCTCCCACTCACAGAGCAACAGCCAGCCTCAGCACGGGACCACCGGGCTGCTGCTGAGAACGGTTTAGCACGTGCAAATACTTCACCTGTTGTAGTTCAGTTTATAGGGCATGGGAAAAATCTGAATCTTAATATTATTACAATATTCATGTCACAGTACAATATTTATTGCGGTATTTTATGGATGCTACTTTTTCCTTTAAAAATATCTTGGTAAGCCTTTAGTGCTGTCGCTATGATCATATTCCTAAAGCCTATGATTAAAACATTTATTTGGGTTATCAGCACTATATAGTTCCATTTGCTTTTGTATGTATGGTGACAGCTCATAATATTATTGTGAGACAATCCAAAATCAAGACATTTTGGTAATTGTTAAATCCCAATGCAAAGGGTTAAGTCAACTTAAACAGTTTGGGTATTATTTGTATTTTTTACTCCTGTCTAGATATATTGTAAAAGCAGCTCTTAGTGTCAAAATGAGACTTCTCTTTGTTTGTTGTCTACATTTAATCATAAAAAATGTTATCCTCTGTGATCAAGGAAGAAGTGCTGGTGAGCTGTTAGCATGCTAGTTGTATTTAGTTGTTGTTAGTTGTTGTTACGGTCATGGCAAAACTCTGTTCTTTGTGATGTGTGCTTATAAACTAATCGCTTTTAGTTTTTCATGTTTTTAAGATGGTAAAAATCAGGTACAGTGTCCTAAAAATTGTCAAAAAAATTGGTATTCATCAAAAATGTTCAAATCAAGTTTTTCTCGCAATCTCCACATAAAAGACCGTCCTGTGCAGACAATCTGATCCACTCGGCATAATGATTCGTTCTGATAATCCAAACGGAGTGCAGTCCAGTGAAAGCTGCGGTGATCTTACTGATAGTGACAGTGAGTAAACCGGCCATGTGCTAATCCCTGTAACAGTAGTGCAAATGACCTTTGACACAGAGTTCACTAATCCCTTTCTATATTCATCAATACATCCATAATGATAATAATAGTATGCACATCCAGATCTTAATGGAGAAAAGCTTTATGCAGTGTTTTTGCCCTACTTCAATTAACAATTTACAATTTATGATATAAGAAATGATCGTGGTAAGCTTCTATTAGGCTTAGCTGTCCTGGGGCAGACTGGGGGGAGTGAGATAGCCAGTCTGCACCACCAGCCCCTCCGACCAGCACCAACACTCACACACCACATTCATATTTGATGTTTCAGTATGTATGCTAAGTCTATTCTTCATTGACCTAGTGTGTGGTCCTTGTCTCCAGGTCCTCCATTTATCGTCTCTCCTCCGGAGAACATCACCGTGAACATCTCGCAGGATGCCTTCTTCACCTGCCAGGCAGAGGCCTACCCCCGAAACCTGACCTACACCTGGTACTGGGAGGAGGACAACGTCTTCTTCAAGAAGTAAAGTTATGATCGGGTTCATTATTGTCCACCATTTCACCCTCATTGTCTGTTCAGTGTGTCTCTTGTGCTGCTTTTTTCTGAGCCAGACTCATTCTATCCTGTGCCTCTGTCTGTCAAATGGAGCCCCCAAACATGCATATTGTTGGAGCAGATTAATTTATTCTGAATGTATTATCAGTAATGGTGATTCAGCAGAACCCCAGATCTGCAGCAGTGACACAAAAATCACTAATGCTCTCTCTTGTATTGTAGGCTGCCAATCAAATGGCCTGACCTGACCTGACCCACAGCAAAGGGCTTTCTGTTCTTAAGTCAATCATAATCTGAGCCACAGCTCATGGTGTTGTGTCCTGCAAAAGGCCGCTCTGTCATCCATAACTGCTGAGGCACAGGGAGCTCATATTAAACACGTTCTATATAATTACAGCCGGTTTGAGGCCCATTTGGAGAAGCAGGCACTTGCCAAATCCAACTTGTTTTGTGTGGAGCATAATGCTGAAATGCTTTCGGGCCAAGTCAACCATAAATGTAAATCTCTGGGATCCACTCCAACATACAGATGCTGCTTGGTTTCTTGTATTTAAACAAAGGAACACAATCTGCATTGGCTCATAAATATGAATATTCACTGCATGGTGATATTACCGTACTTAAGTTATAGTGTGTTTTGTGTTCTTTTAGGTCATGTATAAAGTGTTTCTGGATCACAGCCCTGAATGTGGATTTGCTCTGTTTATTTCCACAGTGACCTGAAGCGCAGAGTCAGTATTCTTATTGACGGCTCTCTCATCATTGCCCAAGTGAAGCCGGAGGATACTGGCAAATACACCTGTGCACCTAGCAACAGCCTGGGCCGGCCACCAACTGCCTCTGCCTACCTAACAGTGCAATGTGAGTATGCATTAGAGTACATAATATTCACATTATTCACATTTTATTAGCATTGCCAAAACGGGTTTATTTGTATTTGGAAGCCATTTCCTGAAACGGTCGATAATAGGCCAATGAAGAAACAATACATTTTGTGCAGCATCTAGAGACATTAACCATAGGTTTGAAAATAGTTTGTCCAAAGATGCACTGCCTAACTTTTCACATTGACTCCTCTACAGTGGAGATGCTAGTGCTTTGTCTGTACTGTTCCACAATATGGTATTAAACTTTGATTTATTCAATGAGGTGTGTTTTTATTATCATAAGGAAGGTTTTGATAGTGCCCCGGAGAGATCACTAGATCACTCAAACATGCTTGGTTGACATATAAAACCTCTTCAGGCAAGTTTTTGATGAGGGACCATTATAACATGGCTAAAAAAAAAAAAGATCAAAAAGTCTATTTGGCATAATACCCCGTCTTTACAAGTGCACTGCGTAATTTCTGTTGGATGGTCCGCCTGTTGGTCCGCCACCTGCTTGTTTCTATGGAAATGTTGCTTTGTCTGGAATGTTCCATAATATAGATCAAATTGTGTAGAGTTGCTCCTATTCACAGAAGGAATTATTGTATTTTTGAGCAATAGAAACATTCATAATTAATAAATTCCAGCTGGATATGTTTAATGTCATTCCATGGAAAATTCCAGGAAATGCAATAACATCTCCATGGAGACAAGAAGGTGAAAAACCCTCCACCAGAAAAGCTGCACAGTGCACCTTTAATGCACAACTGCACATACATGAAAGCTTCAAATATACTTAATAAAGTGGCAAAAATTACTTCTACATTTATACACAGTATTCTTGTCTGTTGCTTTAGAGTTTATGTGTAATAATTACCTTCTGATTGTAGCATTTCTCACACTTAAGAGCTTTTTCTTGCTGTGTTGTATTTTCAAAAGTATAATTTTAAGCTGTAAAATGCATTCAGAGCATCATCTGCACTGTGAAACTGATTTGGACACTTTTCCAGTCTGTGGGCACCCTTTTCAACCTCTGCACCACACATCATCCCAACAAAACTGTGCAATTTCACAGGGCTCCCTTCTATTATTCAAATGTTTGCCTTCGTCCTTTGATTGTCATTTACCTCAACTCATTTACGCAAATTGCCGTGCATCAATTTGCACATCTTTCTCTGTTACTGCTCAGTCCACACACTCACACATCTCAATACTTGACTTCAGGATTTGTTTTTATCACACGCGTCTGTCCTTAAATTAGATCTGACAGTTTTTCATGCTTTTCTAATTATTACAAAATTAAATATTATCATGGTTTTACATCAGTTAAGCGACAGTTAAGTATACTTTAAAAGATCCGATATTACGCAAAATTGACTCTTGTGAGCTTTAAGCCATGTTAGAATATTGTTACTTCCTCAAAAACACAAGTTTGAGTAACGCTTTATTATTAGTCTGTCAACATCTCCAAAGCTCAAAATGCTCTGCTCCACCTTGTGATGTCATGAAGTGGTAGTTTTCAAGTTAACAGCTACCATTTACTTTTAGTTCAGTAGAGATGGGTAATTCCAGGTGTGAAATTAACCAGATGAATTCTAGTAAAGGTGTATAGAGTTCAAAAACACAGTGAAGCTCTTCCTGTATTACCACATGACATCACAAGGTGCAGGATTTGTGTTTTAAACATGTGTGAATGAAACAAAACAGAACTCTGGGTATGTTTGTGATGAAGAAACAACATTATAACATCAGAAAATAGCATAATATGTTACTAGTAGTTATTTTTTAGTTAGTTTTACTCATTTATTTAAAAAAACAAAGGCGTTATCATTTTTTTGTCATGGTATAACTATAACTTATGTGTAATTTATTGGCACTTTTTGCCTCATATCTAAAATTAAATCAAATAATATATATATTAAAATTTAAATTTAAATTAGGAACACCTTTTTGTGAATTTTTGTGGACAGTGTTTTAGTGACATGTGCAGTCTGACCTGTCATAACACACTTTAAGCAGGAAGAAAGCACATTGATGGGAGGTTGTACTCTCCTTGTCTACTGATCGCCAGCGTTCACCGGCAGTAGTCAAGGCAACAGACATTTTTGCATTCCCTTGCTCTCCAGCTTTCTTCGATGGCTGCGTATTAGACTGTGCATGGAACAGCAGTCGTGAGAGGAGGAGGGGGTGGGGTGGGGGGCACATTGGTAGGGATTACATCACTGCTGTAAGCGCGATTCTTCGTCAGGCTGCAGAGGGCTCCCAGCATCCTCTCGTCCTCTTCTCATTCTCTTCACACGTCGCTCCAGATTTATTCTTTCCCTCCTAAAACCCACCGTTCCTCTTCTGTTTTGCTTGTCATCCTTGCGTTCTCCCCCCGCAGCGCTCAGCCAATGGGAAAGTTCTCCAAAAGCAAGTCTTGTAGCGGGGTACCGGTGTGTCGTGAGCCAGCGCTGTCTCAAAGCTATTTTTAGACTCTTGGCAGATATTCTTGTCCATGGCACTTTCTCCGGGGCTCCTCTGGGTGCTTTGTGGTGGAGCTGCCGGTGCTGGTGGTTAGGTTTGGAGTTGTAGGACAAACTTGTGTTGGCAATGCTGCAGTCAAATGATCCTGTCTGGTTTCTCTCTTGTTTCCTCTATATGTATCCCGGAATGGATGCAATTAGAAATCTGCAGTTTATAAGTACCATAATTTCCTCTGCAAACAACACAATATCCTGTCTTATTAAACTGCTAACGCTATAGTTTACAATACAAATATAGTATCACAACCTGGTGATACATGTGATAATTGGTAGATGGCACGTGATACGCTGTTGTTATTTTATAAGAACCAAATACATTTTCGCAACAGTATTTCTTAAACCACTGTTTGTGCAAAGTTAATATGAAATACATCTATTTAACTCATCAACAGTGAATATGAGGAGTGTATTATAGAAACACATTTTCTTATATTAGATTAGCAACACAATTGTCATGCAGTCACACAAAAAAAAAATGCTAAAAGAAAAAAAACATACTTGGCTTAATAATAATAATCAACAAGTTTAGTATCACAATATATCAATATTTTGATATTTTTGTACAAAGTACACAAAGTTCTTAAATGTGATTCTTGTAGTAGCGCATCAATTGATATTTTACTCTTTTAAAATGTGAACTTTGAATAGAATCCAATTATTATTAAAACATAAATCACAAGTATAATTGCAATCCCAGTGTCCAAAAAGTCATAATTTCATATTTTTCCAAATCGCTCAGCCCTCCTCTTCTCCATCCCCTCCATCATTTTGTGTGGTCTTTTGTCACAGCAGCTGACTGTCATGTGCTGATATTGAGTTCACAGAGTCAAACCAGCTTTTCTATTCTCTCTCTCCTCTCCTCCTCTCTCAGCATTACGTCACCCTCTTCTCTCTATCTCTCCATCGCTCCCTCACCTGTCCTCGTTCCCACGCTTTTGCTCGTCCTTCCTCAATGGCTCTAACAGTAGTGCTCGTTCCTCCTCCTCTTCCTCCTCTTCCTCACCCACCCCTCCCTCTCCTTCTTTCACACTAATTTCTCTTTTTATCAGTCTTCTTTTTTTCCCCAAGCCCTCCTCCTTGATCTCATTTGGACACATTTCTGATTTTGAAATAAAAAGTTTTAATTTCTCCTGTCCTCCTCAGGCGTACATCTGATGACCTTTACCTGAAAGACATTAAGTAACGTTTGTTTTCACTAATTAAAGATTAGAGATAGTTATTTCTGCATTTACAGCACGATGTCATTCAATTTTCTGTACAGCTTTTGTCTTAAAAGTAAAACACCAACAGCTTTTTTAGGGTGTGCTGGTTCGGGACCAGTTTAACTCTTTTCCCCATGAAGACTACATTTGACGACCCTCCCTTGTTTCCTTAATGACGTCTTTTGACACCTCCGCTGAATCACTAAAGACGTGATTTGACGACCATTACAAGTGGCTCGGTTTTTCACATGTAAACAGAGGCTGTGATAGGTGGGGGCCACTACAACCCATACATACTAATATATGTATGGGTTGTTCCAAGTAGGTATCCAAGGGGGAAAGAGTAATGTAAATTTTATTTGGTCTTGTTTCAGTCCTGGTTTTGTTTAGGTCTAGACCTGGTTTAGGTCTGTCTTAAGTGTAGTTTTTTAGGTCTCAATATTATTAATAGTCCCAGTTTTGATGTTGTAATTGTTCATGTGTGAACGCATCATTAATGTATATTAGTTAAAACAGTAATTTAACTGAGCTTCTCCTGTTTTTGAGTGTGATTTTGTATTTTGACGCAATTTCTCAGTGAAACATGATAGTCTTAAATAAATGCATTTGTCGTTATCTCATTTACAGACACTGGCCAACTAAAAAACTACAAAGGGCTGAAAAAGAATCAAACCTAGCTGATCATAACTATGGTGCCATGGTGACTTAATAAATATGATAATTTACCAGTGTTAAAGTTGTAGACAAAGTAATAACTTCTACATGGAGACAAGCATATGGTTGTGCAATCAGGTCAATTTACTGGTCAGATTTGTGGAGAAGCAACCATGCTCAAGGTAAGCAATGCAGGTTTTATTTTTGAGCAGAAAATAAACCTGTATGAATAAATGCAAAATAGAGAAGTAAATTTCCTATTGTGGAATATTCCAGGCAAAGCAATAACTTCTCCATGGAAACAATCTAGGTTTTTACCAGAAAAATTATATAGTGCACCTTTAATGGGTTTATCAATTATGTCTTAATTTCCAGTCAGTTGAATCCCAGATTACAACTCCCCTCCAGCTTGAAGACCCTGACAGTAACTGTCTCATGGTCTGGTGTGTTTGCAGATCCTGCCCGAGTGGTGAACATGCCAGCGGTCATATATGTGGCCATCGGTCTGCCCGGCTTTATCCGCTGCCCCGTTGATGCCAACCCCCCTGTTACCACGGTGAAGTGGAAGAAAGATGGGCTCCCTCTTAGGATAGACAAGGTCAGTCGCCTCAAAGCCTCTTTTGTTCCACTCACTTAGTCCCACTTTCAATTGTCAGGATTCAGTTGTGAAATGTGTAGCAAATAGGATCTGTTGTTGAAGATGGTTTCCTCTCTGTGGTCAGGGACAGAGGTTAAGGTAAACTGTATTGTCTCCACAGGGAAATATGTGGTGGCTAGAGAAGCCAAAATCTGTACGTAGATGTAAGAAGTAGTGCAAATGATTACTCAAATAAGAGTAAAATATCAGTAATAGTAGTAGTAACAGTAGTTGGAGAAATAAAAACATGATTCATCAGTTAATTTAATCAGATATAAAACATATAATAATACACAGATTCTGGTATTTCCAAACAATTGAGACAATCTGAAAGTGTAATAAATACAAATGTTCAAATCATTTTAATATTGTCAACATAAAGCAACTGTAGTCACCTGTAGACTTACTCCAAAAGTAGACCAAAAAGTAACCAAAACTTTAACTCAAGTAAGAATACTGTTACTTCAAATTAAATATTGCTCAAGTACAAGTAAACGTGTGGTGTCTGAAAACTACTGTGAAAAGTACACTTTCTTCAAATAGTTACTCAAGTAATTATAACTGAGTAAATGTAACTGAGTTGTACCTTCGGGTGCAGTACCCCGGCTGGAGCCAGATGGAGGACGGGAGTATCCGTGTGGCAGAGGTGACAGAGGACTCCCTGGGCACCTACACCTGTATGCCTTACAACGCTCTGGGGACGATGGGATGGTCCCCTGCTGCTCCCCTGGTGCTAAAGGTACACTACTGCACTTATTCAGCAGCTTTATCTAAAGTATTATTTTCACAAAAACACTATTAATGTTTGAGTTCCCCACACATAATTTTAATCACATAATAATAATTTTCCAAAGTGCTTTGCAGTCTTTAAAAACAAATCAGCAAGACAAGACCTCCTGTCGCCAACACGAGTTTCGAATCAAAACTAGAACTGAAATACAAAGTATTACAATAAAACAAGTGAGGTCAGGGGGCAGGAAGTTCCAGACGGAGAGACTCCACATAGAGAAAACCCCCTTTAGTTTTAATATCTTACTATTAATGTTACAAATTAATATTTTTAATACAAATAGACTAATAAGATTACTATTAAGAGTCACTACATCCTGTGTCCATTCTTTATGGCTGTTTCTGTGGATAGGACCCTCCCAAATTCTCGGTGGTTCCTGGAGGGGAGTACAGGCAGGAGGCTGGGAGAGAGCTGGTCATCCCCTGTGAGGCTGAGGGAGACCCCTTTCCCAACATCACATGGAGGAAGGTACATGAGACACGCCTACTCCCTTTGGAACAACAAAGGATTTTAAAGTTGCAAATTATATTTCTTAAGTGACTACTCAAAATGTAATGGGCTAAAGTGCGCAGTGTTATTTATTTTTAATCACATTTTAATGTTATCTATAAAAGAAGCTATGAAGAAGATGTGTTAGACCATAGTGTGTGTGTGGTTCTTAAGCAGCATTTTTTATTGATAATACAATTAGTCATTTAATTACATGAATCATTTAAGTCTCTTGTTTAAAATAGACTGAAGTATACTATACATATTTCACAAACAGAAGCATGACTCCTCTTTATCCTGCTCTACTGTACAGGTAGGGAAGCCCAGTAAAAGCAAGCACAATGTCCTGCCACGTGGCAGCTTACAGTTCAAGTCCCTGACGAAGGACGACCACGGAGAATGGGAGTGTGTCGCCACCAACGTCGCCACAAGCATCACTGCCAGCACGCACGTCCAAGTCATAGGTACAGCACCGCCAGAATCATGGTTTAGGTTTTAGACTGTTTAGGCAGGTTTATGCTTTATCCTTGCTAAATCCCTCCATCCAGCTGGCAGGTTTAAGGAAAAACCTGACAATATGTGAATTAAATTGACAACTGAACAAATGCTGTAGATGCTCGATTATGATTGGTAAACTTGAGGACCTGAGACATGAATATATTTTTTTACTCTGTATTTTGTTCTGTGATCAACTATATCATTATTGTTCTTTATTTTAGTAGCTTGTTGGCAATGGGGCTGTCAATCATGCCCCCAGCTACTTAGTAAAATGTTATTATGACTAGAAACACAAAAATAATGGGGAAAATGTACATAGTTGTTATGGGTGGACCAATATTAAAATATTCATCTTTTGACTCTGGAAAAGTTTATTTCAATTGGATGAAGCAAGTGAGAAGCAGAGAGATGATAGCACTTCCACTCCAAGGTAAAGCTGCATTTTTAAATCGAAAGTTTTAATACATTTTATGTAAGATACATTGGTATTGGCATCTGAGAAGAAGTTTCACTACCATTCCAAGAACGCCTCCAGCCAGTCCTTATTATCTGGTCTACATTATCAGACATTATAATACTCCCTACAATGAAGACATGGCTGGACTTGAATTGACAATACTACCACAATGTGTTGAGTGTTCATGTCTGTTTCCCATACTGATGGTAAATAAACTTGTGTGAAACTTGTGTTAGACATCCAGTCTCCAACCTCTATTAAGATCCTTGAGTTAAGTCACACGCTTAGTAAGACTAGAGGATCTGGAGTGTCTCTGTGATTGCACGTTGATTTTAGAGGGCGTGATTGACAGGCGGATTAACCAATCAGAGAGATGCATGGTCCGTTCATGACAAAAACATCGCTGCTTATATGTGAAAAAGGGGAAAAACAGATGACTTAGAAGCTTGGATTTTTATAGAATCAACAATCAAGCCAAACTATTACTTATTTCTGGTAAAAGAAGTGATATATTTTGTTCTGATTGCTACGAGAATTTTCACGAGGGGTTGTTTTACGCATTTGAGACACGTGATACTAATTTGCAGATGTGGTTGGAAGGATTTTCAAGCTCTATTGTCCAGCTCAAGTCCTTTCTGGATTCAATCAGAATGTAGAAGGGACTGGCTGGATAGGCAACAATTTATTCAGTATCAAAACAATATCACAGTTCTAGCCCTGGTAGATTTGGTATCGGATCAAAACAAAAATAATTGGTATCACCCATCAAGATCACAAATGTTCTCCATATCAGCTCACTCTAAGATATGTATTTTTATTGAAAGATTTATAGATTCGGCAACCATTTTCTTGATCAGTCTTTTTCCTGTTTAGGCACAAGCCCCCACGCTCCCTCCAATGTCCGCGTGGTCGGGTCCTCCACCTGGGCCAATGTGTCCTGGGAGGTGGGCTACGATGGAGGCTACCAGCAGACATTCTCAGTCTGGTATGGCCATGTGTGAGTCATCCCAGCATGCTTTGCTTCCTGCTTTTCTTCTACTTCCTCTGTTACTTCTAAAATGTGTTTTCCAGGGTTGTGTTCAGAACAGTTGTGAAACATAAGAGATGGAAATACATGGAGGTCCATCTCTTTAGATTGAACCTGAGGAGAACTTCAAAACAACTCCACTGAACATGACCCCAGATCTGTCCCGCTGCTGCCGCTTTGCTGCTGCTCAAATGGAAGAACCGTGATCGGACCAGGGCACTTTAAATATTTATTTGTCAATCTTTAGGGTTAATGAGAACACTTTAAGGTTAATGGAGACATTTAAAGCACAAACAACAATACTTAAAGTGATACGTACTTTATTCACCATATAATATCCTATTCCACTCATCCCACCTATTACACTTTGTATCCATGTCAAAATTAATGTCCAATTCTAACATAGCATCAAATGTACGGAATAGACTTTTTGGTGGGTTATAATATCCTGATACTCAAATCATTTATTAGAATTTTTAAAAACATAGCTGAATTTGTATTTTTTTTATATTTATCGTATTTATTTCAAATAAGGACAGTGCTCAGAAAACATTAATCTCAAAGAGCAAAGATGCTCTACACCAGATTTAGCTACAAGCTACTTTCCGTCTGCAGTCCTTGGGCAGGTACAGAGCCTATTTACATTAAACCACCACATTTCATCAATAGCAAACAAGCCAGTCCATCATTAAACATTTAAAACAGTCCAAATATGTAATATATTGCCAAAAAAAATCCAATTCATACAATCATCAAAGTCATCAGTATTATTATTCTCTAAAATACAAAACTGCTCAAGAGTCAAATATAGAATCCTCAAAGTCCTTTTCCATCTTTAGATCAAACAATTATGTTAGTATTTTAGCAAAGCATAATTCACTTTCACACATTGATGCTTTTCTAATCCTTTCCACCCTCTGTGAAATAACCCCTGTGTTAAAACCTTCTTGTTCTGCCCAGTCTGATGCTTTGAACCATGTGCCAATGTGAGTGCGTGACGTTGTTTCGATAAAGTTCTACAAATACCTTTTACTGTGAGCATATAGGCAAGGCAAGTTCATTTATATAGCAGCGTTCATACACAAAGTAATTCAAAGTGTTTCACAGAATCAGAAAGAAATTAAAATCACAATACAAAACATAAATAATCATCATGAAGTGAGTTTTGAGCCTGTCATACCGTGTGTGAGCTCATGCATGCATAGTGTTTATTGTTGAACCTTATTGTCAAGGCTGTTACTGCTAATTGTTTGGCATGGGCAACCAGCAAACTGCAAAGCTAAGTGCAGCATGGGCAAATTACATAAGTGAAAATGGTGACGTCATCAGATATTCAAACATTTATGTGTGATTTATGCATAAAATATGTGCTCACGTAGCTTTAATGATAAAGTCTCTTTATGCGCAGAGCTAAAATGCATGACGCTTTTAAATGATGGAAGACCCTGGTCTAGTTTTAACACATTATAGAACATGTTATTATAAGCTTAAAGGTGCATTGTGTAACTTTTCTGGTGGAGGATCCCTCAAATGCTTTTCTCTGTGGAGATTTTATTGCTTTGTCTGGAATGTTTCACTGTATGGTTCAAGTTACAAGTCAGATCTGTGGAGAGACAACCCTGCTCACAGTCAGAATGCAGTGTTTTGTAGGTATTTTTCAGCTATATAAACACCTGTAATTGTAGAAAGTAGAACAGTTTAATGTCATACTGTGGAATATTCTAGGCAGAGCATCGACACATCCATAGAAACAACCAGGTGAAGGACCCTCCACCAGAAAAGTTACGCAGTGCACCTTTAAGACTGAACAATTGACTCATCTCTCCTGCTGTGTTTAATGTTTATTCCTGTGGGCTTGTGACCAGGCTGAAGAGGGCTCACTTGGGTCCACACGACTGGCTGTCCGTGGCAGTCCCGGGGGGGCGTGACTGGATGGTGGTACCAGGGCTGGAGCCAGAGACGACGTACCAGTTCAGTGTCTTGGCCCAAAACAAACTGGGCACGGGCCCCTTCAGCGAGGTTGTCACTGTGAACACACTAGGTGAGAGCGGCCAGCAGGAGGGCAGTAGGGCACAGCACAGAGGGCCCCAGTGCTGAGTAATACCATATTTACTACGGCACTGTTCTCAATATGTGGACGGGTCTTTTGAAATATGTGTCCAAACAACACCAACTAAAGGGAATAATATTGTTTTATTTTACTCATACATAAAACTCCCCTTCAAACTTCAGAAATGCTTGTTTAAATATTAATAATGAAACCATTTTATTTCCCCCAAGGCAGTAACCTAAAAGTAAATTTAACTCTTAAAAATGTACAAAACAATACTAGTTTATGTTAACTGTTTGCAGCAATTCAAAGACCCTCACTTTATTAAAGCATTCCAAGCATCCTAATTACTCACTGCAAACTTTTTACAACTTGTAGAGGCTGTCATGGTAATGTGAGCAACAACTAGCATGCAAACAGTGCACCAGTTTTACTTACTTCTTTGCAGATGACAAAAATGCTCTGTAATAAGATGCATGCTACACTTAGCTTTTACAATATCAGTAAAAATGAACTTTATTACATGACAAAATGAGGCACAGTCCTTTTAAGGTTGAATAGTAGATATTCAGGTGTTGCTGTAAATGAAGTTAAACAGGTGACTGGTTCACACATCGGCTGCAGCAGCACCTCCCTGATACTGTGAGATTTCACAGCCTGAACAAGTCACAAGTGTTCATCCAGCAAAGACACTCTTTTAATAAGATACAGAAAAGCACTGTCGATATCTCTGCTCTGGACTGGCATTTGTGTTAGTTTTGGAGACAACATGTGAGAAAGGCCACCAAGACTAAAAAGCTAAAATTTTATGCAAGTTACATGTATAAGTCTTCTGGCCTTTGTGTACTACAGGATAACCCTGTACAGAATATAACTGTCATTCTCCTTGATCTATACCTTCTAGTTGAAAACGACTGAAGCAAAAGTGTCAGTTATAACGTGTAAATGAAGATGTCACTGAGAGTTATGTAAAAGTAAGTGATGCGCTGCACTCTGGGATCACTGCTCGTGCTGCATCACCTTTGTACTTTCACAAAACAGGAACAAAGCCAACTCCCTATTCAGCCCTGAGACTTTTAGAGAGCTTTTATTTAATTGTACAAATTATGTATTCATATGTGTCAAATGTGTTTTTAAAAACTTTTGACAGTAACAACCTCCCCATCGAGGTGTGTGCCAGTATGAACTTAATAATAATAACAGATATCCAGACATGTGGACACCTGCCATTCTGTTATTGGGAGCTTTAGATGAAACATTTACAGGTTTATACAAACTATGAGGAGTTCATGCTGTGATGCAGAAGGGTGGATCACTAGTCCAATTACAATATAATATTTTCAGGTGATAAATATTAGAGTATGATATACTTACTGTTCTGTTTTGTGTTGTCCTAGTATTTCCTATAAGTACCCCTGAACCATTGGTGCTGCTTACCCCACCACGGTGCCTCACAGCCAATCGCACGCAGCAGGGAGTGCTGCTCTCCTGGATGCCACCTGCCAATCACACCGCACCTCTTCAGCATTATGTCATGGAGTTTCGCCTGGGAGAGAAATGGGAGGTTTTGGACGACAGCATTCCTGCAGGGGAGACGGAGCTGCTCGCCCGCGACCTCATTCAGGTAAAATACTGACATAGGAATTTTATTTTATTTATTATGTTGCACAGTGTATATTATACTCGTATACACCATATTCACAATGGTGTGTGATGGCTGAGTCACCCAGACCTTTCTTTGTGAAGTTTGCATGTTTCACCCTGTGTCTCGGTGGTTTTCTGACTAAGCCTAGCTCAAGATCTGCTGGGTTCGTACTGCTCCTGAGTTTGTCCCAAAGTGAACCTTACCTCACAGTAACTCTAGAGTGCACATACTGTAGTGCATTTTAACTGATAGTGTTCAGCTTGATTTTAATAGTGAAATATAATTTTTACTTAAAAAATGTAATGACAGTCTCTACCATCAAATTACAGTGTTAGAGTCTTTCCTCTTTCAGCTCTGTGCTTTAGTCGAACAGTCTTTTTTATGAGCGGTGCTTTGTAACAGAAACTCAGCTCGTTGTACTTGTTGTCATGGTTTTCGTTGTAAATGTCAGTAATGCCAGTCTCTTAACGTTGTCCTTCACACATTTAAGTGCACTGGTGGATTTATTGGGCTCTCTGCTCATCCTAATTCACAGTTTGGGACAAATTTGAAATTTTTGAAATGTATTTTGGATTCAGTCTTTGAACTCATCATCCACTTTGAGCTCAGTACAGATGCTTTTATCACTAGTTTCACTGCACAGCAAACACCCACTCACTCTCCTCTCTCATTTCTGATGTCTATACTGTACTGTGGCATTTCTATACAAGATGTACTTAATGTGCTATTCACTCTTCTATTTAGGATGAAGTCAGGTAAAGGGTCAAAGTTGATTAGCAAAACAAGGCAGCCCATTTTTCTGTGATTGCTCAGGCAAAGTTACATCACAGCATACTATAGGACAATAATATTTAATACAGATGGGGGATAGGTAAAATGAATATTGCTAAAATGCAGTTCATTGTTTTAATACAGTAAGTGACTAATGTGAATATAAATTATTATGGTTATTTTATGACAAAGTACAAGGTAATCAATGGGGAAAACTGGCTCTTGCTGCCCGTCTGGCAGTATGACATCCTCACATCTATAACCTGAAAACCACCAATAGATTAAGTAGGCTAATATAAGGTGTTAAATTAATGTTTTACTCATTTGTTAAGGCATTAAGAATACCTACCTGTTGCATTTTATATCCTCTGTTGCACCACTACAGACTAACAGGGAAGCACTGATCCAGCATTTTTAGTTCCGATACCAATCTCGATACTTTGACTTTAAGTATCTGCAGTTTTCCGATATTAACAGATACCAGTGTAGGGATGGAGAGGAATTTATTTTCTCAGTTGACCCTCAGCACAAGAGATCCAGTTGTTTTATGTAACTGTTATTTATCCTTCAAATAACTACTGAACAGCTTTGTATGAATAAAAGTTCTGACATTATGAGACTTCTAGGACAGAAACAATCTTCTGTAAATAGTCTTATTACATTCTGTTAACTGCTATTATAGAACTAATACCTGATCCAGCAAATTTTTCAGTTTCAGCACCGATGCATCCCTAAAACAGGGTACCTACAAATGAAAACTTTGAAATGAAATTAAAACTAAATAATATTTCTGCACCTGTTATACTTCAGTGTTAAAGGTGCTAAAGATGGTTGCTGTGTGTAGGAGGCGTGGTATGAGTTTCGTGTGATGGCCGTCATGGATGAAACCATCAGTGAGCCCAGTAACGTCGTGGGAGTGTCCAGCACAGGTGAGCCTCTACACCACACAACTAGGCATACTAAAATGTCTTGTGTTTATTGTAGAAAGTTTGTTTGTTTCACAATTCACACCAGAACCATTAAAGCTACCATCTGAACATTTATTTTATTATTGTTATTAGATTTTTTTTTTAACCAGTACGTGTGCTCTCTGGTCGACTTCTGTCAGGCCAGACGTGGCACACTATCAGACTGCAGTAACGTAGATAGCATCTAGTGTGAGAATACACCAGTGTTTCCCAAACTTTTTTTCTGGGGACCCATATTTTAAAAATCACAAACCTTTGTGACCCAAGTCAGTAGACATTATTTGTAAATCACAAAATAAAGGTTTTGACCATTATTGAACATTATTGATGATATTTTGTTGTTGACTGAGTGATCGTGTCTCTCTGATCAATTAGTATTACTTAGGTTTTAAACAATGAAAAACTGTAACTAAAGCAGCAAAAAAAGGATCCAAAAATCGCCTATTTGGACATTAAATGTGTCCCTGTATATTGCAGACCTACATGCAGATCATGACAAGGCAACCCAAAAAAAATCTCTTGTGACCCAACTGAGGGTCTCGCCCCAGTCTTTGGGAAACACTGGAATACACGATTGGGGGGTCGGCCAGTCTTTACAGATGGTAGCTTTAAACTATTGTGCTGAATTTTCCCTGCTCCTAAATATAGTGAAGTAATCCCATGTACAATGTCCTTAGTTGTACTACTTAACTTTACTGATGGCCTGCAGCCTTTACATAGATCTGACCTGCAACTTGGCCTGGTGGCGTCACCTGCTTGTCTCCATGGAGATAGATACCAGTGCATGCAAACCAAAAACATCTCCATGAAGACAAGCAGGTGGAAGACCATCCATCAGAAATGTTACGTACTGCTTCTTTAAGTAATGTGAATTCACCTCATAATACACTTGAGTCAAAGTTGCACTGTGAATTTGCCACAGTATAACATTATACTTTATACTTAGGGGTGTGCAAAAATATTGATATATCGTATTGGTTAATGTGCTGATACAGTATAAATATCGTGGGCTGCTGTAACGATACATCAAGTATTTTTTGGTATATTTTACTAAATTATTTTGTTACAGCATTACAGTTTGGTTCCTTGTTCAGAGGAAGCAAACTCATTTATGCGACACATTTGGCATTTTCACTGTTCTGATGATTAATATGTTTGTGTTTCATATGAACTTCGCACAAGATGTGGTTCAATGAAGACTTTTAGTATCACAGCCATGATTTAGCCATTATTTTTTACTGAACCGTATTGATTAGATTTTAAATATATCATATCGCATCGTATCAAATTGAATGCTCACTGTATTGTATCGTATCGTGGCCTATGTATCGAGGTATGTATCGTATCGGCAATTTCTCAATGATACTCTAATTACACTTAGTTATCTCTATGGTGGCAGCAGATGACAGCACAGGGCCAAGTTACATGTCAGATCTGTGGAGAGGCAAGCCCATTCACAGTAACAATGTCTTTAGGTCAATAAAAGCCCAAGTTATTGAGTAAATGCAAAATGGATATGTTTAATGTCATATCAGGACATTCCATACACATGCAAATTAGTAACATCTCCATGGTGACAAGCAGGTGGTGGACCCTACACCAGAAAAGTTACACAGTGCACCTTTCAAACCCCCTAAAGTGTACTGCATCTTAAACCCGGGGCGATCTTTACATTTGCGATTCACCCTACTCAGCATTACCTCGGCTTAAGGCTCTTTAAGGCCATTCTGTAAAGTATGACATCATAGTCTCACTCTGAGCCTGTACTGCAAAACAGTGCTAAAAATACGATTAATTGAGTTTGGAGTTTGTCAGTTCTGAGCCCAAATCTGAAATCACAAGGCTTCAAATGTTGCTATGCTGCAGAGGTCACAGAGTACACATCATTTTGTATAAGCAGCTGTTGCTAGCATTTATAAGGAAGATTTTTGCACTGAGGCTTGGCAGGTTTGAGTGCCACTACTTCCCCCTGCTGGTTGAAATTAGAATTGTGTTTAAACTGACTGGCTATGAAAACTGGCCCATAGAGTTTTTAGATTATAGAAATGTCATGTACACAATTATATCTGATGTGACTGATCTGATTTATTTCTGATTCTTTATTTCTATTCAGGTTTTGGCAAGAAAAATGACAAAAAAGAAATGTTAAAGCATTAAAGAGTTGTTTTAAATTCATTATATTTTGTCTTAGAAATACAGCAGTTAGTCTGATAATCCATTGATTCACTGACACTGGTTTTGATGGTCAGATTTCTCTTGGACACATAAACACACACCAAAAATCTGATCTAAATAAAGGGTCAAGTGATTATTCTAGTTATCTGAGTTGTACTTGATGGTCGTGTAAATGTACTTAATGTTTGAAAATTATATGATCAGTGTTAGAGCTGCAAGATTAGTCACAATCATAAAATTTAAATCACAAAAATGTACACAATTAGCAAAGACTGCAATTATACTACGCACAATGCTTGTCAGAAAACCAGGTTGCTGAGAATACAATACAAAATACATATACAATAAATTTGAGTTAATATTATGTAATCTATGCATTCAGCAAAGCACTTCATTCTGGGGGTGTTCTACATGTATGTACATTAGTGGAATGGTGGAAACAGCGCAAATCATTTCACCTGTTGTAGTTCCAACTAAGTCAGTTCTTTCTGGTTAAACTGTGTTAAAATAAAGATCAGACTAAGACTAACTTGTATAACAGAACTTCAGAGAGAGTAGTGCTTCCAGTTAGCACATGTAAGATGATACATATTTAGGCTTTCTTAAGAGCTTGGAACTTTGAATGCTCAGATTTCAGGGCAATAAACTTAAATGCAAACTTTATTTTAAACTGTAAAGAGTGATACCAATGCAAAGACAACAAAACAAAACATGAATTATGGATAAAATAGGACTTAACTTGTTATGCTTTGCACACAGCACTAAATGCCTGTTCATAATTACATGCAGTATAAACCCTTTGTATGATTCACCATAATGTAGGTCATCAGGACAGTGTGCCCATTTAGAGCTGAGCAAAGAGAGACCCCAGTATTACAGTTTATTTGTCCCATAATCCAACCAACACATGGTTATGTCAAATATTATTTTATTTTTCCCTTTATTTAAAGAGACTTGGCTAAGGTACCAGCCAACACAAGCGCTGTACAGGAAATCAGAAATATTACATTATAATAACATGGCATCTCACATGAAAAACTGTTTAAAAAATCAAATTGAAATATTCATGTAAAATGACTTAATAAAAGTCTGCTGACTTCCACACTAAAAAATTCTGGGAGCTGATGTTGCAGTAAAGGTCATCACAACAAAGAGCAGAGAAGTTGTCAGCACCTCCTATGGTTAGCTGCACACCACACAAGCGAGTAGCAGATTTTTCTTTGAGTCCTGTGTGTGACTGGTTAAGAAAATAAAATTGAACAATGAAGTAAGTAGACAGTGGTTGTACGCCGGGTGTGGTGATAATGGGAATTGATCATCTCTGACATCTCTGCCCCTCTGCTCTGTACACAGACTTCTTCCCTCCTCCTGAGATGGTGGAGGAGAGTGGACTGGCGCGCCCGGTGGTGGCTGGGATTGTGGCCACCATCTGCTTCCTGGCCGCGGCAGTTCTCTTCAGCACCATGGCCGCCTGCTTCGTCAACAAGCAACGCCGGAGGAAACTCAAGAGGAAAAAAGGTAATGATCAAAATGCTAATGTTTTCGTTAGAGTTTAGTTAGCAAAGTTTGAAATTTTTCTGTCTTTTCAAGATTCAGACAACAGAGCATAAACCCATTTTCGGCCAGATTTATTATATAATGTTGTGATTTCAGAGGAGACTGATTTATATATTACTTATATTTTCTCTTTCAGATCCCCCTCTTTCCATCACCCACTGCAGAAAAAGCATGGAAACTCCGTAAGTACTGTCCACATGACTCACTAAACTAAAGATTCCAAAAGGTCAAGTAGAGTGTTTAATTCTAAAAAAAAACATAAACATACGTGCAGTATTCAAAAAATAAGCAGATAAACCTAGAGGTATGTTATATAAAAGTGTGTTAGCTAATTTTATAAAAATGTATAGTAAGAAATCAGTTATTACATTAAACATTAACATCTACAGGGAAACAGAGATAGAAAAATGGAGAAAATGCAAAAATCAGATTTTTGTTGAAAACAGTGAGGCTCACTTCAGGTAGCAGCAGAGGACATTTCTTCAAAGGAACAACCAGAAACGAGTTCTGTCGTTTGGATCTGCCTCAGTGTTTAGTATTGTTTGGACTGCATTTGTTTTGGCATCCACAAAAGGTGTGTCATCGCTATTTTCTGATCTATGTTGTGTTTCATTTCATTCACACATATTCACCACAAATCCTACATATTTAGGCTGATTTCTTCTCTCAGACTGAAACCTTGTGATGTCGTGAGGTAATACAGGAGGTGCTCCATTGTGTTTTAACCTCCATTCACCTTCACTAGAATCATTTGGATCATTTCAGTCCTGGAATTGCAAATCTCTACTGAACAAAAGGTAAAAGGTAGCTGTTAACTTGGAAACTATTGATTGTGACACCACAAGGTGGATCAGAGTGTTTTGATCTTTTGGAGATGTAGACAGACTAATAATAAAGGCTTACTCAAACATGTGTGAATGAAATAAAACACAACTCCTGATATTTTTGGGTGAGGTAATAACATTCTAACATGGCTTAAAGCTCACAAAAATCCATTTCGTGTAATATAGGCATTTCGTCATCTCTTATCTTGTCTTCATGGGATGTTATCATGAGATGAAATAAATAGTTATGTGGATGATAATGATAATGTACAATTTGTAACTTGTATACAGAACAGAACATAACAGTAAATATGAATTGTGTTTTAATGCTAACAGTAGTTGTACTTTTTGGGTGTACAAGCCTCTGCAGGTGTCTGGGCTGTGCAGCTGTCAGCCGAATGTAATCCGAAGATGGAGATCTTCATTTAAAAAAGTCTCTTCAAATATTCAAAATCTCACTTTCTTTCTTCCATTTTATGTCACTGAAGTATTCATATGTTTAGGGAATTGCTATGGTAACTGTAAAAAACACTGGTTTCATATCTCTTGTTTAACATTTTTAACAAGTCTTTACAATTTATTCTGATTTTACAAACTATTAGTTAAAAAAAAATTCATCCACTACCTGTTTATGTCCAAATTTTCCAGGAGTCCTCTTAGCTTCATACCCAGTGTCGCCCCCTACTGGGAGGGGCTTGAAGCAAGCAGGTACATGCCCCAAGCCTTCAGTCCTCAGTGAGTGTGCCTTCCCCTGTACTCTGTGCACACTGTCCTCCTCCTTCACTGTGATAATCTCCCTGAACCTGACCTGGTGCATGTTGGACCAAAAGTCCCCACAAAGCAACAACAACACTGGGCTCCTGAAATAAATTACACTAAATACAGTGAATAAAGATTTGATGTTCACGTTTGACCGTGCATTAAAGTTACAGCACACTCTACTAGTTGTCTGAACACACAGTTGACTACAAAAAGTTTGATGCAGTTAAAATGATGGCTTATGTTACAAAGAGGTGCCGATTAAGTGTAGACAGTGCTTTGCTTTTCCTATTCTGAAGAAGACAGAGCTGTGTTTCACTTGTGCACTCTTGTGTCAGCTTGTAGTTTATGGTGATAACAGTGTGTAAATACACCTCTGCTGAACACACTGTTTTAACTGTGCGTCTTTTTACCTTGAACATGTCATCAACTTCACAGAAGCACAGAAATTTTGAACCTCTGCAACCTCTTTGTGTGTAACAAATTATTTAATTAAATAATGAAACCCAAGGTGTTCACCGAAGTATCACAGTGGCACACTCCAATCTCTAGATTCAAGTTTGTATTATATTGAATGTCTCTAAAAATTCCATATGATTTTATAATTTTTTTTTTCACAGTGCGCTTAGCCTCTTTTAGTTTGCCTTATCGGTGTAGTTGAATTGTCGCAAATACTGTGTAAATGTCAAGCTTATGATTTGGATATTACTGAGTAAAGCAATAAAAGTGTTATTATTTTTTTTTAGGCTTTTGACATTATCAAATAATATACAGTATCTATATATATCTATATATCTCTACCAGTCATCTCCACATTCATTCTTAGTGAAGAATCATTGTGCAGTCCAGTGCCATTGGCCTAAAATAACCCAGTTTGTTGTTGTCACTTTGGTTTGTTGTATTGAAGTGGGCATGAATAAAGGCTGTAAAAACCCTGTGTGCGTGTTCCCTATAATCCTTTAACTTTGTGTTGTGTTAATGAAACCTCAGCCTCGCCACAGACATTTTATTTTGTATGTCATTAATCAATGTTATATTCTACATATTCTTACTGTTATCTGTTATTGGAAATAAATAATATGTATATATATCATAACATATAATATGTATATGTATGTGAAAAAAATAAACATACAATATGGATAGGTTCAGTATCATAATGTGGAACATTATAGGCCAAGAGATAACAACATGACGATAATGACATGATGGACCCAAAAGTTACATAGTGCACCTTTAAATTAAATTTAACAAAATAAATGAAATGGATATATTTTAAATACATCATATTTGAGTTTAAACAATTACATTTAATGACAGAAAAGGATTCAAAGGTACCCACCTGGACCCTGTTTTTGAAATAACGAAGGCTTGAACCCAGGAGTCTTTTTCCATTAAATTAAATGTTTCAGTGGAAACATCTTAATTTGAAAAACTGTCCAAATGACAAAACTTTTGAAAAACGTTGTAAACCTTTTCTACCTCAGACCAATCCTAGATGAATGAGGGATAACACTCACTGTCTTATCACATTTAATTTCAGTTGACTGGCATACTAAACATTTTGCCCTTATATGGCTAGGTGGCTAAATAAGTGCTTTTCTTGCATGGATATTGGTACACATGCATACAAATGTAATCCTCCCCATTATGTACTCATGCAAAATAAACCATTCAATAAATGCATTTTCCACCTAACAAAAACATGAGTTTTGTCATTATTTACTATGCCTACAATATTACCCATATAGTCATTTTCTATTTGTACATCTAACAATGTCAAATACAAAGAATAGAATTTTATATTTATATATTTTTTTTCCAGGTCATCGTCAGAAAAAGTGAGCCCAGAGAGCATTCGTTCCAAGGCATCGTTTTCGGAAACATCAGAAGACAGTCATGACCAGCGTGGCAAAAAACCTCCTCCAAGCCCAGGGAGGAAAGAGGAACTGTCTTTGTACAAGAAGACCAAAAGAGCAATAACAAGCAAAAAGTACAGCATGAAGCATGAAGCCGAGGCCACCACCCCCATAGAACTCATAAGTCGCGGTCCAGACGGTCGCTTTGTCATCGATCCCACCGATATGGAGATGTCCATCAAACCTCGCCGCATCGAGGGTTTTCCTTTTGTGGAAGAATCTGACTTATATCCTGAATTCCGACAGTCCGATGAAGAGAACGATGACCCAAGGCCTTTGCCCCCTGCTATGGCCACTCTACGGCCTCACCAGATTTCCCCCATCTCCAGTCAGGAGTCCTACCTGCAGCCCCCAGCCTACAGCCCCCGCTTCCACAGGCCCTTCGAAGGTATGACCATCATGGAGAGCAGTCGTCTGCAGGCTACAGGCCAGATCCGAGGTTCTCTGCACCACCACAGGGCTTTCTATGGCTATCTGGGCCCCACGGGGGACCACGAGCCCCCTCCTCCCTTTTATATGCCTGACACCAGCCCCCTCAGCTCGGTCATGTCGTCCCCTCCATACCTGGGTGAGGGGCCGTTTGGTCACCCTGTGATTCCTGAAGAGATGGGCGAGGGCGAGCTTCCTCAGTACACTATCTCTGGTTTCCCCCTCCCTCTGACTTTGTCCTCTACGTCTCGCACACCTGAGATTTGGCAGGGACTGGATTTTACATTTGCCAGTCTTGAGGGGCCACAATTCATCTTCCCCCCACATCATCCCTACCCTCCCCCTCCTCATGTTCTTCCCCTTAGTGCTTTTCAACCCTCCACTCTCCCAATGCCAACATACCCTACTGTCCTGCCGCTGGAGGCCCCAAAGAGCCACCCAAGCAAATCTCCAAGCAAGGCCAAGCCTCATGGCTCCCCAGCCAAGCATCTAGCTATGCAAGAGGCACCTTTAGGGCAGCTAAGACACACTAGCCACGCAATGGGCGTGCCGGGTTTGCCTTACGCCGATCCAATGGCCCACATTGTCCCTAGCACTTTTAGTAGCCTGGACACGCGGTGGTTTGATACTAGTCCTCGGTTCAGTCCCAGGCAGGCTCGTAGGATGGATCCTGGCTTACATCAGGTTGTTCTTCAGCCTTCTCGACTTTCACCCCTCACCCAAAGCCCTCTTAGCTCACACCAAGGCTCCCCTGAGATTGTAGTCCGTCCAAGACCACGCCCCAGCATTGTGCAACCATCTATACCTCCGGAGATGACTGAGATTACCCTCCTCCCTCCTTCCACAGCCAGCTTCTCAAGAAGATCTTCCCCCTCCTCTTCACCTGCCCTAGGCCAGGGTAGCAGGAGAGCCAGTCCCAGCTACCGCTCCCACCTGGCCTTTGCCACCTCTGCTGCCAGCTATCCCCCCTCCCAGTCCCCGTCTCCTCCCCTGGAAAGCAGCAGCATATTTGGGCCGATGCCGTCGCAGAGGAGGGCTGAAGAAGAGATCCTTCCGTCCGAGACCTCTCCACCCCAGTTGTCCAGTTCAGGGTAGGTGCAGTAGGCATGCCCAGAGGATTTGTCCATATGCCTCCATGTGTTGAGTTGCTCTTTCTTTTATGTTGCTAAATCATCTTAGTTCTCTGCATTTTATTTTATTTATAGTTCGGGTGAAATTGTGAACAATATTTGTGCTTATTTATCCCTCAAGTGTTCATTCATGTTTTATTAGACCAATGCTGCTTTTCATGTCAGACCCAAAGTAAAATGTATTCACCCATTACATCTGTGAAGCTATGTCTATTATGGCAACAGTTTGAAAACAACTTTTATACATTTATTTAAAGAATTAAACAAGAGAGTCATAGTTTGTTTCAAGCCTTGGCTTCACAGATCCTCACTCTTCAGACCTTTTAGGGATACTGTGCACATTGTCTACGATACATTTGAATGAATATAAGAGGTATCTTTGGCTCAAGCCCCTCAAGGCCTGGGAATCAAAAACCTCACGACAAGAGCCCTGTTTTTCATCTCATCATGTGTCCTGCTTTCACATTCTGGGAGAAAATTATTTTCATCCGATTGATCCCACATAAGAACAAAACACTCATTGTTATGTGTAGCCTCTGAAGACTCCTCCCTCCATCATGCAGAAGGATGCTTAAGAAGAGCTCATCTTGGCAGGCCCTGCGGCCCATGCTTGACCTTAGTAACCTGAGCGTTTAACCAATTGTCCCCACTAGCTTCTACCCTTTCAGATCCTCCTACCCTTTTGCCTCTTTAACCCTTAATCGCCCAGGGACACCCCAGGTCTGACCTCCAAGCCAAAGTGTGTCACAGGGCCTGTCCGCTTCTCATGTACTGCAATGTTTCATCATTATGAACTAGGGGCAGAATGGTGGTTCTTGACGACTCCTGGAGTCTTACCTGCTTTGTTTTTGATTGATCTCAGCTACCTGGGCAGCGTTGTTGTGACCAGGTCCTCTACACCGCAATAGGTAAGGGTTGGATCCATGTCTGAAAGGGGGGGGTTAGCAGGTGGGACTTTTGATCACATCGTCCTTTAAAGGGGAATACAAAACTCGGAGTCTTATTTCATGTGTTCTTCCACAGTTTGAGTTTTTTCCTTTTTCGTTTGTCAAAGAACCTATGCTTTTTTCAGTTCTGCAGTCCTCTGTACTGTGTGCATTCTGACCAAGACATTTCCATCCTCAGGTCAGACATGTATCACAACTAAACCCATGCTTGAGTGGTTCGCTAAACAACCACTGCATCTGGAGCATTTCTGATTGTCAGATATGTCTGTAGGCACATGTCAGATTTACAAGGAAAGTACAATGATTTATACATTTTGATACACCTATGGTGTACAGGATATACATTATTACTGAATACTAGCGCTGACTCTTTTTATTTGAAAAGGCAAACGTTTTCATAATTTCACCTGCCCTCAACAATCATGTATTGTTTTTGCGAACCATTGATTCTTCTGTCTCATTTACTGCCAAGTATAGGAACTATTATTTGGATATTTCTTGGGAGGTAGCGTGGCAGACTTGGATCTGTAGGCAGAGACTGTAACCCCCTAAAACTAACCCACAATAGTTTGTTCTACTGAAACAACTTTGAATAAAACCGACACTATAATACATTCTCAGAAACTAAATAGAGCACACTTTCGCATTTCCCTCAATTGTGACATATTTTCTATTTACCTTTTTGGATAAGCTCAATAAATAATTAATTAAATAATAAGTAAAATCAGTAATGTGATTACAGTAGCTAGGTGTACACTGGGACCATAAGATCCTGGTTCACATAGATTATCAAGCACGAAGTTCAAATCAGGATAAACCTACCTTGACCATTAGACACCAGTGAGTTTAGACTGCAGAACATTTGTCCTTGTCCTGCTAAAGCAGTTTCGTCCTCAGGTAAAGGAACAATACTTCCCTCTGGGAAATGAGCCAGGGCACACCGTGGGGCTCAAGACTCGTTCAGTATGAGTCAACTGCCCAATGAACAGCTTTGCAATGTATTCCCCTTTAAAGTCGTGTTCCATGTGCAAACTGCCATGCATGCCATTGCTAAATATTGCTCCGTTACCAAAAACCAAACCAATATCTGGATAATCCTTGTTACAGTTGTTGTCCTAGTGCTTCGCTTTCCTTTGGCTTATTTTCCATTATGTGACTGTTCCTGAGTAGTCATTTCCCCTCCCGCCATCTCTCCCCCTGTCAGCATGGTGAAGCCCATTGTAGACAGTATCCATGTCTATGAATACATATTGATAATGCTTTGTTGCTGAGCTGTGGTACCCCTACTAACAACCCTGGGTTTCTCTCTGCAGCCACGCCCAGAGTCTTGCTGTTTACTGTGCCCTGAGAGAACCGAGTGTGTGTTTGTGCTAAAGACTTGTGGACTGTTGTGGCTCAACCAAAGGAAGGAATGTCCTCCAGATATAAAATACATCATGTCAGGCAGTACACTGTAGAACCTTTACTGTGAATAGTTTTCAGTGCAGATAGTGAGGCAGTTTAATGGTGCATCTGTCAGAGTAGAGAATAGGATCAGGACTTTGTAAGTGTGTGTGTATATTTGCTTGGTAGGACTTTCACATGTGCTGCACTTGTTGCTTGACATGAGCCATGCTGTGGTTTGGGATCGGGTGCGCTCCTTAGTCACACTAGACTCTCCAGGGACAGTCAGGGCCTGGAGTTACCTGCGCTCTCCTCTCCTCTTCACACAGAAAACGTCGAGGTGCAGCGAGCGCCCTATCCGGGTCTGAGAGGATGGATGCACTGAGATACCAGCGAATCAAAAAGGCCAAGAAGATGACCATGAACAACAATAACTCCAAGATGAGGAAGAAAGCAGGTGTGGCTCTTTCTGTCTTTAAGACTCACAAAACTATTCACTGTGGTGAAATGATAACAGAATGCGAAAATGCAGTAAATGCTATTTTATGTTGGCCAATCTTTTACAAGGCATTATTATGGTTCAGGATCAATGTCAAAGTTTGTTTATGACACAGACCCGCTCCTCGAAGCACCACAGAGCGCTGATGGCTTTGGATATGAAGATTTGTCACTGAAATCCAGGACTTTATTTTGGATTATCTAGCAACAGATGATTAAGGATCCTTCCATACCTCGTGCTCTGAAGTTCTCCTCACTGTGAACTGTGCCAGGTGCTTGTACTGCCTGGCTTGGTAGTTGAGCTTCTTGGTGTGTGTGTATCTGTAGCTCACAGGTTCAAATCTCAGAGGAGACAGTTGATGCACTGAGTAATAATACTGTAATGAGTCTACACCACACATGGTATGGGTGGACCCTCCATTATCATACAGGGACACAGTATATGTATGATATAGTGCCCCTTGCCCTCTTGATACATGATGAGTATGACTCCTTGTTGCATATGCAGAGAACACATTGCTTTTTAAAACTAAAAAAAAAAAAAAAACATGTCCTAAAAGTCAAACAAAGGACAATAGTAATTGTCCTGCTGTATTGTTTTGTGTGTCTGGTCTGATACCTGTTGTCTTTACAGGTGTGTCCACCTCTCAGACCCATCAGGCCTACACCTCTCAGGTACTCCAGCCCGAAGAAGCTCTCTACCTCCGGAGGAAGAAGAAACGCCCGCTCCTGTATGACCCGTACACGCGCTTCTCTGCTCTGCTGTACCGCCGGCCACAGCAGGAGGACCAGAAGGCTATTCTGGCCTGCATGGACCACATCGACCCCGACCACGCCACTCTACTCTAAGTCAGGAAAGGCAATGTCCCTTTCACACAAACGCTACTATCCTGAGGGATGTAGCACTCGATTCAAACGTTCAGATTTAGTAGAATCATGGATTCTGTAAAGCTTTGCAAATTAACATTTTTTTATACATGTGCCATTTATTATGTAAACAACAAGAGGCCTGCTAGTCCAAACTTTTTAGCAATTCACCTCTTATATCGCTGTAACCAATTTTAGAGAATTAATCCTCATCTACCATTCTAGATACCAGATATTCTTGATATTTGAATTCAAAAATATAAAAACTGATTTGAAATGTTAGTGTTAGTTACCAGATTCCAATGTTTTACTCCAGTGCAAAATCATGTTCTATTCTTTTAGACATAAATGTTTTGTTGAACCTCACTATCATCACTTCCAAGGACCAGAGTTAAACATTTGTTGTAATAACATTATTAACTATGATTACATGTGGCTTATGACAGAACTACTTCCTGCAGTTTAATTCCATATCACAGGAAATATATTACATTCATTCACTGTCAGTTACAACCAAACCATGCAATGCTTCTGTGTGTGGTCCAAAAAATGGCAAACACCTGTTTTAACAGATTTTTAAAACCTGCAAATTCTGTGATTTTTTTTAGATTTCTGTGTAACACTGTGTGCAGTAGCCCGTTTCCTCCTCCCGCAGGTGAAAGTGACATAAAGCTCTGACACACACAGCTCTGCTCTGGTCTTCTGAGAAGCGTTCAGCACTTTACAGCTGCTTTTGCACACACCAGTGACTTCAGGGACCACCTTGGTTTACCCAACCCTGGTTTTACACAGTCAGGGTGAGTCAGGACTCCTCACATGGAGACAAAGTACAATGAATTTTAAACGAAATTTTTGAATCTTTAACACTTTTTCTTTTGTTTTTGTCCTTTCCGCCTTAGTTTGCCTTTTTTAGTTTGCATTATATTATAAAACAATAATAAATTTAACAAATTGGCCATGAGCTCTCAGATGTGATTTGCACTGGAGCAAAATACTGACCGTGCATTGGTGTCCATTTGTTATCACCGTTCTACTTTTGGTAGGATAGAGGGCCTCAGATCCTCAGAATCCACTAGTCTAGAGAAATGCCAAAAAAGTAAACAAAACCACCAACCATAGGATTGTGTGCCATTGAATATTGAGTATTCTTCCTGTTAGAAAACTTCACCTTTTCTTTGGCCTTAAAGAGCTTTTTATTGGTTGCCTGATTTATGTATTTTTAGTTTTTGAGTGTTTGAATGTTTGAGACTAGACTTAATTACGGTAAACAATGAGCTATAACATCATAATGATCACTGAGGAATCCTAATGTGAACCATGTGTTTTGTATTGTAAACAACTAAACCATTTTTGCTCATTAGAAAAGACTATTCACAAACAAAAATCTAACAGTTTTGTGTAGTTTTATGGAGGATAAATTGTGCCAACTTTGAAACTGAATCACAAACTGAAATGTGGTCCATGTTACTGTGGCATACTGGGGCTCGTAAAATTTAGGTAACATACAATGCAATTAACAAATTAATAAATGCAATTAACAAACATCAGTGTATCCCCAAACTGACTTATGAGTGAATACTTACAGTAGACTGTGGCGCAATAAACAACTAGACCATCAAATCCACTTCCTGGTGCTACTGGACACTGTCACAGAATTATTATCATTCATAAAATTGCCAAAAAGCTCAACAAGCCATTTCATTCCAGCAGAGCTACGGTGCTAAGCAAACCAGACAGAAAGCTGCTCTATTGTTACAACCACAACCTGCTGCTTGAAAGGAAAATGACAACTTTTAACAAAATTGCTTTGAGACTTTGGTTCAGTATGAACACAATTAATGCATAATTAACATCCTTAATGCCGCTGACTATTGTTGCATGCACCAAAAGTGTGTGTAAATGCTTACAGAAGAAAATAAGAGGACACCTCCCCTCCCTTCATTTGCAATGGCAGGAAGACTGACAGGCAGAGTAACCAATCAGAGAATCCAGTCGACATCTCCCACGGCAACACAAATGTGTGTGGAGATTTGAAGAAGACGCAGAACAACCTGAAACTTGTGAGCACTGAGTTGTGTCAACATTCAATCTTAAATAAATATTTCTATCATTATATATAGTGTATTATAAAGGGGCTTATTTTATTACGAGGAAACATATTATGGAAGATTAATATGCATGCATCTAAATAGAACTTATTCAAAATAAATTTATATAGAAAAATATTCTTATATCTTAATGTTGACAGAGCCAGTATATTTTCCAAATTAAAAACTCAAAAGATGAATTTGCACCTGAGAGGGTGAGTAATGCACTGAATGGTATAATATTGTAGCTGTGGATTGCTGAGATCTTGAATGTGTGAAAACGTGTATGAAAAATAACATGACCGAGGGCTTCTGTTACACTGACACCAGAGGAGAGTGATGGGAGTAAATATGCAGATGAGAGCGGGGTCAGAGGTCAGAGCTTTAGGGCAAAGAACAGGCCGCTGAGAATCATGTACATAATGTAAAGTCAGACTGGGTGGACAACATCTGAATCCTTTTGGTTGATCTTGGTCAAAGATACAACACACAAACAATGACTGTAATATAAGTATGCCTATGAGAAGCTCCTGACCCATTTTGAAACAGACATCTCAAACGTGAGATACACTTACAGCTGGAATAATGCTTTAAATGACATGATTCTGATTTTAAGATTCAATATAATGACAAGGCCCCATCCTCAGGGTAAAGCTTTAGTGAGGATTTGTAAACTCAAACCACAATATTATAAATAAGTGAAGACATTTGGGCCTTGGATGCATAATTGCGATGGCACAGTAACTTTGAGATGCAATAACTGCTTATCCAATGCATTTCTATTCTTGAGTAATTAATAAATCTACTTAATACTGCTTATTGGTTTACTATATGTAATACTGTTATATAGTTCAATATTTTCTCTCTTTGGCACTAATACTGTCACTTCAATACCAGTACTGTACCAGTTACCCTCTTGAGGAGGAGCTACTGTGTTCCTGTTCAAAGTTTGAGAGACTTTATCATTTAAAAAATATTATCTATAAAATAGACAGGCTTTATCCCATGCACTATTTTGCACTCGTACATTGATTTAAATTGCTTCATCTGAACATAGAGATGGATTGATATTTAAATGTAATCCACACTAAAGCCTGAAAGGACAGGCTTATTTTCATACCAGCTCATGCATGTTGGTATGACTTATTCTATTCTTTATTCATTATACACTTTTGTAAATACAAGTACTGAATATATCTGATAAGTGCTACATATGGGCACAGTTTTCAGTGTTACCCAATGAATCACATCACATCAATCAAAATCATTTCAACAAATATAAAAAAAACTATTCATGAATCACAGTGACCTTTGAAAAACAGAAGCTCCATATTTACCCTAAAGGCACACTACAGACTCAGCTCTGCTGTCACACCTGGACACAATTCGATACAATATTCTAAATCATGTAAACAAAAAAACAAAACAAAAAAAAACCTGCATTACAGAGTTGGATCAAATATCCGACTATGTAAATACTTAAAAACAAAACATCTTGTTATGACAGATTTTTTGTAGGTGAAAAAAGCCAAATGCACATCTCGTATCCAGTCCTGACAAGTGAGTGGGAACAGTAGTGTAGGGTCTGTAACACAATATACCATACTGTAACAGGCTGCTGTCCGTCTGTATGTGAGTGATGGAAAACTATAGACACTAGTTTTAAGGATATATTCTAGAGCTGAAGCATATAGAGAAAACATATATAAAAATATAAATATATATTGTCATGGAACCAAATGGTTATATGAGTATCTATATTTGGGGACAGTTTTTATGTTTAAGAGAATGTACAAGTCTGTTATTTTTCTATTCATGTGTTGCTTTACTATTGTAGCAATGCACACCAGTAGAGAGAAGCTTTTTTCAGTTGTGTACAAAACAAAAAATGATGGTGCACTATATTCTACTTCTTATTGTCCGCTCAGAAACACTCAGAGACTTAGTTTTTATAGCTCGCGTTCGCTTGATGTCCGGTGATTGTTGAATTTCTATGGGCCATCATTGTCCAACTTAAAAAAAAAAAACAGCCTTGTTACTTTTACTTAAAGTGCATATGACAGGTTAGACTGCTAATTTTACTAAAATATAATTAACGTCATTGTAGATAATATTTTACTAAAAATCTTTTAAAAGTTTTAAAAATTGTGTTTAAATTTTTACATCCTGGGTCGACACGGGCAACAGATACGACATACACAGAAGTAATTCCACAACTGTAACCTAGGAAACATAACATTAATAACAAAAGCCAAAACATGTCTAAATAGGCTCTGTGCACCAGAGCACTCAGCAACCACACTGTTAGTGCCACTACTTCTGTGGGTTTTTTGCTGAGCTAAAATTAATAAATATTTAAAATAAAGCATTGGACAGGGAGCTGTAGATGGAAGTAAGATGTTAAAAAGTACATTAAAAAAATAATACTTGAGCAGAGGACACTTCCGTGTTTAGAAAGAGATCTTCATGTCTTAATGCTAAGGCTAATGCTAATGCTAATTTTGAGGGCAATAAATATTAAAACAACACCACAAACTATTCTACATATCAAAATAACTGGGTGGTCTTTATTTTAATTAATTTGAAATTTAGTAGGCTGTTTTATATAGGCTATTTTATACTTAATAATTTTGATAAAAGTGACTCTTAGCTTTGAGACACCATGAGCTAGCTAGCATGCTGCTGAGCACAGAGCAAATGGATCTATTAAAATAACAGACAAATGACAGAGCCTGTTGCAGATTAAGTAAAAAAAAAAAAAAGCCTAGTAAATAAAATAAATGGCATCATGTTTTATTTAATGCACGTAAATTGTTCCTGAATTTTTGATGGAATTTCCTGTTTATGACATAGGTGGAAGTACTTTGTTTTAGTACTTACTCCTACTTCCTGTAT